TTTTTCCAGATAGAGTAAATAGACAATATGCTCCCATAGGAGCATGTAATCTCTTGGCATGAATAATTAGGTCCATGTTTGTTAGTTGTTACCATTTAAGGGAACTATCCATCCTGGTAACCAAAATCCAAGGTTATATTGTGAATTTCAAAGCATGAACATAGAAATTTGAGGCATGCCTGTCAGTTGAATTTATTAGTGTAGGAGAATGTGGTATGTTCTTTATATTTAATTTCAAAGCATTTCTGTCAACTTTGTTCACTTAAATTTAGTGAGACTTGTTGTATGCCTTCACTTTATTCTTTCCACTGTATATTGTCTAACAAGGATTAAAATATTTTGGGGTCTATGCAATCGCCCGAGTCTTTGGAGGGTAAAACTCGAAATCGGGTGAGTCTCTAAATTTTAGGGGACCTTTCATTTTAAGCTTTTAAGCAAAAATTGGAATTAATGTTCTACTCATTTGCAACTATTCCAACTCGTAATCACATTCTTTTGATTGATGTTTTGAAATTAAATCAAAAGATATTGTACAATGTTAATAGCTCATCTCTCGTTAGTATTTGGATAAATTTCTCTAAAAATATTTATTTATTTGGGCACCTCATTACCCTTTAAGGCATATTATTCCCATATATGTGTATATTGGGAAGTTAAAAAAAAAAAATTACATATATATCTATTATAGTTTCCGTTATTACGACTCTATCGAATAATTTTCGTTATTACCACCGTATATGTTTTTTTTATGTCAAAATGGAAATTTTTTAAAAAAGGCTGACTTTACCTTACACCAATTTTAATTATTAAATTTTCCGTTGTTAAAGAAGAGAAAATTTTAAATTTTGGAGAAATCTTAGGGATTATGAGGTTAGAAGATTGGGAGAAATCTTGTCACCTATTCTGTCTCTCTCTCTTTGAAGTATGGTTATCGATAAAATCAATGGGTACAACTAGTTTGAGCCCCTAAATTTAGGAGAAATATCAGGGATTATGAACTTCCCTACACTGGATGAAGGGGAGAGAGATAATTTTTTTTTAAAAAACCATTTTTACAAGATAATTTTTTTTAAAAAAGCCATTTTTACCCTTGTAATGTAGAGAGAGGTAGAAGAGAGAGGATACGTAGACGGACAAGATTAAAAAAATTTTGCTTCTTGAAGAACTGAAAATTTTACATTTTCGGTTATTCAAAAACTGAAATTGGCCCCAGTTGTTGAATAACCGAAAATACTTTAAATTCGGTTGTTCAACAACTTAAAAAGGTAAAGTTTTTTTTTTTTAGATTTCCGTTTTGACTTGCAAAAAAACAAACACGATGGTAATAACGGAAATTATTCGATAGAGACGTAATAACGAAAACTATAACGGATATGTATGTAATTTTTTTTTTAAAAAATAAAAAATTATTTTGTATCGGCAGAGCTTTTAAAAGCTAAAATAATTAAATTTGTATTAAAAAGATTAATCAAAAGTTAAAATAATTAAATTTGCATTAAAAAATAAATATGAAAAAAAAAAAAGCTGAGACGTGGGCAATTATTTCAACCGAATTGCTCATATCCCCAATTGAATCCATGGTTCTGTCCTGTAGATTTTGGTTGAAAACGGGCCAACCCTCCACTCCAAACGTAGATAAGTGGGGTACTACCGATTCCGATCTGGATCAACGACATTTACACATGGATAAATCACTATAAAGCCCCAATAGAGAACCGTACTCTTAAATTTTTATTGCTTTTATTTGAGGGTTAATTTTTTAGTATAGAAGGGGGGAAAGCTTTGCCAGCAAGGGCCATGGGATTCCAGCTAGAAAGTGAGGTAAAGCAAAGGGAAGGGTTGAGTGGACCCCAACAAATTCCTCTCATCACTCCCAACGATAAAGAGAAAGCTCTTCTTCAACCTTTAGCACTAATAAATTTTGAATTTATTACTTTAATGAAGCACTATTTTATTTACATCTTTAATAATTTTTTTGGCCTTTTCCTTTATCACTAACTTCTTTTCTTTTCCTTTTTCATACCAAACCTGCAGGAGTATACTATCCATTTACTCGCTCGGACAAAACTTGCACTAAGAATATCCTATAGATCCCAAATTATAAGTATGTGATATTTAGAACCCGGCAATAAACCTAAAAAACATAAAAATAAAATAAAACTCTCATCCTATATGAGCCTGAAAAAGGGGCATCCAAGATGGCACGAGAACTATCTAATTTTTGGCTAAAATTATCTAGGTTCAAGAACTCAAAATACACTTTTTTTTCTATGAAAACAATCATTTAGTTGTAGTTAGATGGATCAAAAAAATCAAATAAAGAAACTCCAAAGTAAGTATTTTACACGAAAGAGTAAATGTATAGCATAGTCTAGAGGGAGCATAGTATAGCGCTGAGTCACATATCCGGTCTCATTGTTTTACTTGTTTCTTTGCAAAGCCAATTCCTCGGGAAAAACTCGGCAAATCCGTAAAGCATGGTGGAGAATGTTAGGTAATGTTGTTCCTCCCTGGCCGGCCAAAGATGAAAAAAAAAGAAGAAAAGAAAAAGGGTTTTGTTTCTAAAATTCCAAGAACATTGTGAAATGGGTGAAGTTTCTTATGATCCATATGACCATACTATATCTATAGCAAGAGTATCCATCACCTTCTAGTGAAATGGATGGATGGTGATAGAAAGAGGGAGGGACATTCTACTTTGCTCATGCTGTTTTCTAGTGGGTCCCACTCTCTCTTCATCACAATCTATCCATTGGTTGGATGGTGCGACTGTGATATTTGTTTTGGAGTTTTTTTTGGTTTGGTGAGAAAAATGAAGCATTTCGGTGCTTAGGTCAATTCGGGAAAGGCTTCAGATTTTTTTAAAAAAATTAATATAAATAAAATAGATCAATATATATATAAAAATAACATAAAAAAATAAATATAAATTTCAAAAAAAAATAAAAAATACTTTTATACAGATTTTTCATTGCTTTGGCTAAAGAGGCCGAAGCTTTGGCCGAATTGACCATAAGCAAACCCGAATCTAACCGAAGTAGCCCGAAGAGGCCTGAATCTAACCAAAGAGGCAGCACTATGCTTAACTTCGCTTCGATATAAGCCTGTAATCCGAAGGATTCGACTGGAGCAAATTTGACAACAAAGTGTGGGACTACTTGGGGCTATATATTTTCTATAGTCATATAGATAGTAGCATAGTTTCCCATGAATAGTATGTCCAATTTTTGGACGGTAAGCTATAAGTTTTAGACAACTCAAATCCAATTTTTTTGTTTTTAACATAATCATCTAGTGATTATTAGTAGTTCCCAAAATTTTAGAGCAAAAAAATACTCCCAATGATTAGTAGTTCCCAAAATTTTAGAACAAAAAAAATACTCCAAAATAGGTCATGTATCCAAGGGAGTAAGTGTATAGTAGGCTCCTACCGAAGCATGGCATACTTGCTTGAATGAGAAAAATCACAATTAGATGCTTTGGGTTGTGATAGGGTACTCATAGATATGGTGTGGTTTGTATAAGGCCAAGGCCTTAAACAATTAAAATAAATTCAATAGAAATATTTTGTTTTTAGTATTAGAAATCTTTATGATGGTTTGAAAATTTATTTTCTCTAATTATATAATTATATATTTAAGAACAATGTATATCAAGGAGATCTATGAACACTTGAATAATGACAAGATAGATAATACATTATAAGATGTACTATTTCCAAGACTTGAAATTTATTTTTTCTCATGTCCATATATCTCGAGGTTGAGATAATTGAATTGAGATTTTTTAACATTGAAACAACCTCTTCTAGTGAATTTTTGAGCTGTGCTTTAATTCGATTGTTTAGAACCTCACCCAAGTATAAACTTTTCAATTATTAAGAAGGATATGATAAATATTTATAAATAATAATTAAGGAAAATTGACTCATGCAGGCTAGATCGCATGACTACGTATGTGGTCCAAAAAGTGTAAAGCATCCATCTTAAAGATGGATGCAAGTAGGTGTTCCATCTAAAAACAATGAAAACTAACGGTCCAAATGTTTTCTTACTATAATTATTATTTATAGTTTTTAAAATTTATTTATTTTTTCATATTCATAATCTCCATGTTCGACATTACATATCTTTAAAAATTAAGTCAAAAAATCCATCTCAAAAATATATTTATTAATAGGCTGACATTTCTATATATGCGGGGCTTGGCCGCATAGAAACCAATTGTATTTGCTCTATGTGGGTAAATGTCACACTGAACGTAGATTATGTCATCTTTTATTATAGTAAATAAAAATTTTGACTAATTACCTAAAATACCCTTACGCAAAAGAACCATTACCTTACAAGGGGAAAGATATCAATTATACAATTTTTTTCTTTTTTGGGTAAGTAATTATACAAAAATATTGAGTACCTTAATAAAATACCGGTACTAAAACATAACCATCTAGATGACCTCGCAAGGGGAAAAAAATTATATAAGGTTGCAACCTTTATAATGTAGAGCTTCGAATGCACTTCAAAAATCCATCCGAAATGTAGTTTTGAAAAACCCTTTGATTGATCATATCGATATCGAGATATATGACCATGAAAAATTAAAAGATTTTAAGTCTAAGAAATAATGCATTTTACAACATATTATCTACACCGACCATTTTCATATATTTATAGATCTACTTGGTTTAAACCAGTTTTAAAATTTAAAATTCTATTAAAAATAGTTTTTGAGATAATCTTAAGAATATTTACATCAAACTTATATACCATGATAAAATTCGAAGGCGCACCTTATCTCTAAAGCAACGGATGCATCCGTATGCGAACTCTACCGTTTTAAAAAAAGGACTTTATTAAAAAAAGCCAAAGCCCCTAAAATAAATAAATAAATAAAATTCAAATGGGTTATTATAGTTAAGTAGAATTAAACCAGCTTAAAAACTAGCCCAACACAAAAGAAAATCGGCGATTAAAGGGCCTTAAAGAAGGAAGAGATTAGGATTGGGGATTAGCATTGGCAATGGTTGGCCCCCAACATAAAAGGATCTGTTATCTCTCGACTCTCTCTCTCTCTCTTTAACCAAAACCTATCATCGCCATTTCTCCATTCCATTTCCTGCATGCAAAGTCCGAAGACTCAGAATGCCTCCAAGTCTCCTGTAAGTTCATGATTTCTGCCATTTTTTTCCCATAGAAGGAAGCTTTTTTTTTTTTCCGTTCTTCTCGAGTTTAGAATCAGTTTCTCTCTTAGTTTTTTTCATTCTTCTCATTTGCCATTTTTGGGTTCTGTTTGTTACATGGTTTGGGAGTCTAAGAAGCTTGTTTTTTGGTCATCTGGTTCCACCCCACCCCAAAGATAGCATCTTTTTCAACTGGGTTTGTTTGGGTCTGTAATCTGTATATATAAGTTTATTGATTTGGTCTCCATCGATATAAATCACCTTCTTGGAATTGGGTTTTTCTGAGTCTGTACATATAAGCTAGATTAGGCCCCCAGATTGAAGAAGAACATGGCTTTTGATTCAAAACAGATCACTTTTAAAGTGAAAAAGGTGGTGGTTTTGTTCTCTGTCTCTCTCTATAGATCTGTTCGTGATCATCCCTTCATTTGGGCCATGGCTTGTGTTTTTGTTTGGATGTATAGATTTTTCCCCTCTTTGTTCTTCTTCTTTGTTTCTTCCTCCCCTGTTCTTGTTTGCACTGCTGTGTTGCTTGGAGCCCTATTGAGTTTTGGGCAGCCTCAAATACCAGAAGTTGAAGAGGAGGAAGCGAAAAAGAACCTGCAAATTTCTTCTCTGAAATCTGGTGTTAGCCCTGATAATCTTTTTGTTCAGAGAGAGAAAGAGAGAGAGTTTGTATCAGAATCCTCTGACGAAAAGAGGAGAGAGATTGTTGAGACTATTGAAGCGGAAGTGACTGATGATGAGGTTGGCGAGCTGAAATGCAATAAAGGGGTCGATTTTCCTCTCACCCATGAAGAGGAAACGAGTTTCAGGAGCATAGAAATTGAAGGTGATGAGAGAGAAAATGTGGTGCAGATGCACAGAGCTGTTAACAGTGTGGAGAGGGAGGGAGAATTGGGTTCTATTCATTTGGATGAAAGACTTCATGACCGCAAGGTCGATGAATTTTCATATGAGAAGGGTGGCTATGCAGATGGTCTAGAGAGAGATGAGATAGATGATTCTCTCTCTAAACCCAGTCAAGACACAGGCCATTTACTTGGTGGTGATTCTCTCTGTAAACCCAATCATGAAACTCCCCATTTTGATGCTAAACCCATTGAAATTGAGAGAGTCTGCGAATCTTCAGATAAAGCTATTGGGGAAACCCAAGAGGAGCCTGATTCTTTGTGGAAGCATTTCAAGGGTGAAGATTATTCATCAGACTCTGATTCTGATTGTGCCGAGAGCTCTTCTCCTGATGCTTCAATGGCTGATATCATGCCCATGCTTGATGAGCTTCACCCTCTCTTGGACTCTGCTCCTCCTCAGCCTACTCATGGAGACGACAGTGATGAGGAGTCTGAGTCTGAGCAATCATCTCAGAGCTCTGATTCAGAAGAAGACATGGCTGAATCAGACAGAGATGCTGATATCCATGGAGAACATGAAGAAGAAGAAGAAGATGGAGACCATGAACCTGAAATTGCAGTGAAATGGACAGAGGATGATGAGAAGAACCTCATGGATCTTGGGACCTCAGAATTGGAGAGGAACCGGAGGTTGGAGAACCTGATAGCAAAGAGGAGAGCCAAGAAGAATCAGAGAGTCGAGGATGAAAAGAACCTCATAGACTTAGACTCTGATGAGAAAATCTCTCTCTCAGAAGATCAAAGTGTTACGATCAATGAGCAAGTCCAAAGCCAAACTCCTCCTCCTCCTCCCTCTCCATTAAAAAGAAACCCATTTGATCTTCCCTTTGATGAAGAAGAGAGAGAAAGAGAACGAAATGAAATGGTGGCAATGAGTCCCCTTCCATCAGTGAGACAAAATCCATTTGATCTTCCTTATGAATCCGTCGAGGAGACACGCAAGGGGAGTTCAAGTCGCCAAGGGTTCATGGATTTTGAACATAGGGACTTGTATCTAGAGGGAAGCCATGGCTTGAGAATGGAAGAGTCGTACATGGGAGAAATAGAACCCGAGAAGCATGAATCGAATGTGGATTCTTTATATGAACCTGATCCCCAATCCCCCATAAGTTATGTTGTAGAGCACGTTCATGAGAGTGCAAAAGAGCAGATAGCTCATTCCCCTGTGAGTTATGTTGTAGAGCATGTCCATAAGGCTGAACCCGAGGTGCTGACTTATAAAGCCATTCCTCAACAAGATAGTGATGAAGATGAAGCAGAAGAAGAAGGGGAAGTATCAGAGCTTCATAACCCAAGGTATGATCGAAATTTGAGCTCTTCTTTTAATGAAACTGAATCAGCTTCTTCCGATGTATTTCATGGAGATAACAGAGAAATGCGTGGAGCAGTAGAATTCAAGCAAGAACAGAGCCATCTCAAAATTGATCATGGCCATGAGAGTGACTCCAGTTCTTCTGGTGTTACTGAAGATTCAATGCATGAAACAAATTTTGGGAGGGTGGAAGATGAAGAAATGGACCGTGAAAGAGAATCAGAATCAAGCCACTATGGTGATTTTGGGGGAACCCCTGATAATTCAAGAAGTGGGATGTATCCTGATTATATCGGGGAGGGGACATCTGATAATACAAGAACCAGAATGTCACCTCTTTCTTCTGACGAAATGGTAGCTAAAGATGGTGATTCCTCTAGCGTTTTTGGAGAAATAGAAGAAATGAGTTCTGGTTTAATTGGTGGTGAGTCGCAGAGAGGGCAAGATAGGAGAGTGGAAGAGCCTGTGTATGATTCAAGTCCCTCTGCCTTAGAAAAAACCATCTCTGATATGGCGAGAATTGAAGAGTGTGATGAGCTCCTTGATGGGAAGTTGCTCTCCAAATCCAGTTCTTCTGTGTCATCTGATGCTGAGATACCTGAACTTGGTTCTTCAATGGAGATCGAGAATAAGGAATCTATGAGCCAGGAAGGTATGAGCTATGAAACCGAACATTCTCCATCATTTTCAGCTGATGTAGAAGAGCATTCCCCTGGTGGAAATTACTCCTCTGAAAGTGGTTCTTTTCAAGCTGTTTCTCAGCTTAAGAGAAGCATTTCTACAATTGAAGAAGCTGAATCAGAAGAAGAGTGCCAGTCCAGTGACGAGAAGCCATGGAGATCTTCTTCCCCTGAATCATCTGCTGCTGAGGAAATTCAATCAATATCAAAGGCAGTTTCAGAGACTTACGGGGATAATGATAATCAAGGTGGGGTCTCAAGATTTTCTGAGAATAACCAGGAAAGATATGAAGTAATGGAGCCTTATTCTTCTGAACCCATGACCCTAAAATCACCAAGCACTTCAGAGTCCGAAGATTCTGAAGAAGATCACTCTCCGAAGGGTGTTCTCAAGGAAAGCCATAAAATTGACTCAAGCTCAGTTTTAGTTGCTGGATTAACTGGTTTACAGGCAATCGAGCCTGAACACATGAGTAGCAAGGTGGACAATGGCCAATCTGATATAGAACATGAGCTGTTGCTTCTTCATGGGAAAGCACAGGAAATTGAGCCCGAATCATCTGGTCTCAGTGTGACAGGCTTTAGGGTGCTAGAACCAATGGAAAGTTCCTTGGTGATATCTGAGGTACAATATGAAACACTTTTGAGGACTATCAGTTCACCTCGAAAAGAAGAAATCCCCGAAAAAATTCATAGTGATTTTGAAGATGGTTTGGAAAATGACACATTGGCACTAAAATCTAGTGAGAAGAACCCAGTTCAAGAATCTCCTCACCCATCTTCAGTAGTGGACCGTGACCATGATTCAATCATCAAAGAAATAGGTGAAGATTTATTGTCAGAATTAGATGTTGTTGGGGACTTCAGGGTGGAGGTTGATTCAAATGGGGCAAAACCTCTCCTAGAGGCCGAAGAACCAGCTAAAAACTTGAGCCAAAATGAAGAGGATTTCAAGGAAGGCAAGGATTTGGAAGCTAAAATGGCTACTGTGAGTGAAGGGGAGCTTGAGGTGCTTGAGGCCAGTTCTGTTGAAGATATCAATTCAGTTTTGAGGCCGCTCATGGAAAATGAGACCTTCAAATCATTTGCCCAAACTGGCCTTGGGTCCAATGATCTTGAGGTGGTTGAAAGGAATGTGGGTTCATTGGAGACACAAGGTGGGTCTGTTGATTTTGGTGAGAGTAGCAAGAGTTCAGACTTGGTGGTTCTAGAGGCTAGCACTCTTGAAGATATTGATTCAGTTTTGAAGCCACTCTCACAAAAAGATACCGAGAAACTTAGTGATAAATCTATCGTAAGTGAGCCAAAATCTGATTCAGAGTTGGTGGTTGTAGAGGCAAGATCTCTTGCAGATATTGATTCAATTTTGAAGAAAGAGACTGAGAAACTCAGCGACAAATCGAGTGATAGTGAGCTGAATCCTACTTCAGAGATGGAGGTTTTTGAGGCCAAATCTCGTGAGGATATTGATTCAGTTTTGAAACAATTCTCAGAGAAAGAGAGCGATAGTGAGCATGTGGCTGAACATGGGTCCAGTGAATTAGAGGTAGAGGCCAAATCTCTTGAAGACATTGACTCAGTTTTGAAGCAATTCTCAGAGAAAGAGAGTGAGAAACTCGATGATAAATCAACCGATAGTGAGTCACCATCTAGGGTTGCTGAACATGGATCTGGTGAACTTAAGATCATTGAGAGTGAGCTTGAATCTATGGTAGCTGAGCATGGGTCTAGTGTGGTTGAAAGAAATCCAGAGCCAGTGGTTCTTGAGCTTAGATCAACTGAGGAAATTGATACCAATGTCAGAGAAGTCGAGGCCCAAGAACCAGAAAAGATGGAGAAAGAGACACCCAGTGGTTCAAGCTCCAGTGCTATTAAAAAGAAGAAAGCTGGTTCTGACAAATCAGATTCTGACTCAAGCTCAAGTTCCAGCTCTACTTCGAGTGATTGGGATTGAGAGATTGGCATTTTGATCTTCTTTTGGGTTGTTTTTCTTTTTGAAATACAGTTGGGTGTGATTCTTTTGTGGTCAGTTTCTTTGTAATTCATGGGACTTTCAGAGTGTGACAGTTTTGAGTATGGATAGGAGTTTTGGCGTGGGAATTGGTCCTTGGTTGTTGAATTGTGGCTTTTGACAAGTTGGGGTCAAGGGATGATTTTTTTGTTTGGTCCCCTAGTAGGAGTGAAAGATCTAGTTGATGCTCTCTCTCTCTCTCTCTCTTNTTCTTTCTCTCTCTCTCTACTACTACCTACCTACCTACCTACCTACCTACCTACCTTACCTACCTCCTACCTACCTACCCTACCTACCTACC